CAAATTCATGGAATGTAGCGTAGTGATTCTTGGTTTGATAATGTCAATGAATTTTTGCGAATTTGATGTAGATAGCCCTTTCACAGGATTATAGCCTAAATAATGTGTGTTGGTTCTTCGAACTATATCAATATACTGATCTATATCACTGTTTTTCATACCAGTAGGATATTTTTTGAACATGAGCTCATATAATCCAGGAGTACCCTTATATTTCAAAGTACCATTTATAATGAAATCAGGGCCATCAAAATCTATTGTAGAATCACCAATAGCATATTTCTTTGTGAACGGATCAAAATAAACACCAGAAGTATCATCAAAAGCATTTTCAGTATCCAGTATTTTATCGTCAATATATGCCCTAGGTAGTGGAGAATTGAATTGTTCTAAATATCTCTCATGTTGCGCCATTGAATCCAATCCAGGTGGTATTGTTTCTCCAAAGTAACTTTCCCCATATTCTGGTCTTACTAATGAGGGGTCATGTAGAAATGTTTCTTCATCTCCCAAATCCATAGTTGGTGCCGTATGGTAATACTCTTCTTTAAATTCACGTTTCGGCTCATTTTTTACAAACGTTCCTTGATCAGATTTGCCAATGGTTGCGAGTAATTCTTTGAGAGGTTGCGTAATAGGCTGATAGGTTTTCTCTAAATCAGATTGAGATTTCACAATATCGCCTTTCAAGGTTCTATATTTTTTTTTCAAAGCCTTCCGTGTTTTCAATAGCTCCGCTACCGTGCGGTTATTCATCATGAATAAACATGATTCGAAAATGATTCCATTCATATATGAATGAACTCATCGAACCCTTCGCGGTACCTACCAGAGCTCAATGGAGAATCTTTATCGATAACAAGAAATCCGAATTTTTCGCCCCAGCAGAGTGCGCAAAGTTCTTTAAATTGTTGAAAAGACATATCAATATTCACATGGTCATCATAAATGTGTTTCAAATTGGTCATGTCTTGTTGAAAGACAATAATCAAGTTAGAATTATCTCTAATGAATTGTCTGCAAACGACAGAGTAAGTTTGACACAAATAGAAACAATCTGTGTTTCTATGTCGTCCAAAGCAAAAGTAACTTTTCATCAAATCTTGGTCACAGCTAGGAACATCGTCAAATATTATAATGGAATTATCTCGAATATTCTCTGGTGCAATTATATCATCTTTGTCACTATATTCCATGTAGCCTATTTCTTTCAACGGTGTCAATAATGTCCTCAGATATGAATATTTTGGCTGATGGAGTGATTTAGAATACAAATAAATATTTTCGAAACGGAGACCATTTGGATGTTCAATTAAGGATATCATTACATTCGTTTTCCCCGATCCGCTAGATCCTACTAGTAAACCTCTCTTTGACTGGCCACCGAACAAAATTCCGTGTTTCCTAAATTTACTCTCGTGAGCGATTTCATCATGATTTGTGATTGGTAGAGAGAATGTCTGCTTTTGAATCTTCATTATGCAGGCACATCCATGGAACTGACACTACCGAACATGTTTCAGTTCTATATATAAAGGGATTCATATAGCAAATCAGTTATTATTCAACCGACAGTGTTCTGAACATTATAAAATGAAACGAAGGAATAACTCAGTCAGTCGTTGTCGAAGCGTAAAACGAAAAGGTCGAGGACTCCTCAATACTCTAATTAATAAGCTTCCAATAGAACTTCATGTGCCAGGATATAATTATTGTGGACCTGGGACTAAACTTGAAAAAAGACTACTAAGAGGCGATAAAGGTGTTAACGAACTAGATGAGGCTTGCAAACAACACGATATAGCTTATTCGAATTTCAAAGACATACAAACTAGAAATATTGCTGATAGGCGTCTGGCCGAAGTAGCTGCATAGCGTTTCAAGGCATCTGATGCTGGTGTGGGTGAGAAAATCGCAGCATTAGGGGTTACGGGAGCAATGAAATTGAAGAGCAAGATGGGTATGGAGCTGAAACGGAAAAAGAAGGTATCACGGAAGAAAAAAGGTGGTGCTTTGAATCTATTGGCCAAGCGACCTACGAAAAAAACTAAAAAACAAAGAATCATTCCAGCGCCTAAAATTGGAGGATTTCTACCATTTTTACTCCCACTTCTAGGAGCACTTGGAGCAGTAGGTGGAGGTGCCGCGGGTATCGCCAAAGCGGTTAATGATGCAAAAGCTGATCGGGAACGACTAGCTGAAGAACAGCGACATAATCGAGAAATGGAGAAGGCAGCTACTGGAAAAGGGCTATATTTGAGACCATATAAGGGCTATGGCATGTATTTGAAGCCATACGCAAAAAACTCCCGATAAAGCTACCTCGCCGACCACTGACTAATATTGACTTGCGCAAATATGTGAAAATTCTCAAAATACCATACTTTAGGGGGATTTTCATGAGAGATACCCTTCCTGAAAAAATAAGAAAGAACGAGTCTGGAATCTTGAATCTAGATTCGAATGTAGGTGAAGGAACACATTGGACTGCTTATATCAAGCGCGATAATGAAATAGTTTATTTCAATAGTTATGGAGATTTATCTCCACCTTTAGAACTGATTCAATATTTTTCAAGCGACGGTGGCAACAATGATATTATGTATAATTATGATTCAGTACAATCATTCAATTCATATCAATGTGGGCAACACTGTTTACTTTTTTTATATAACCAGAATTTGTAAAATGGAGCGTCATTTGAAATTAAACTTTCAGTGAAACAATATGTCTTTGACTTTTACTTTAAGTGGATGTTCATCGATTCTTACTTACGATTTTATTCCTCCAATATATTTGAATGATGAAAACGAATATGAAATTGGGTTAGCTAATTTTGACAGTTTCAACTCAATACCAAATATTGATAATACGAATAATATCTTCGTTTGGGGTGAGAACGATAGATATAGATTTGAAATTCCTACTGGATCATATGAAATTGATGATCTAGCAAACGTTATTCAAAATGCTATGAATGATAAAGACAACCAAGCAGTTCTTCGAATTACACCTGATTTGAATACTTCCAAGGTGACTATAAAAACTAATCGTCGAATCAATTTTGGAGTGGACAACACAATTGGATCACTACTTGGATTCAGAAAACGAATGTTGAATGCGGATGAAAAAAGTGTTTCGGACCACCAGGTCAATATTCTCAACGTCAATACTATTTGTGTAGATTGTAACTTGGCCATCGGAAGCTATTTAAATGGTGAACCAGTTCATTTAATTCATCAGTTCAATGCCAAAAACCCCACCGGATACAAGATCATCGAATCACCTGTTACGATCCTGTATTATCCAGTTTCCGTGAAGACTATCAACAATATAACTGTGAAAATTATTGATCAATCAGGAAATATTATAGATTTCCGTGAAGAAGAAATCACCGTTCGACTTCACCTTCGAAAGAAGGATCTTTGATCATGGTGTGGAGATTCATCCATCCAACACCGTTTTACTCCCCTGAACAATACTATAAAAGACATGACAATGAAAAGAAACGTACTAGTATGAAGAAGACCTCCGGAATATTAACATCAGGAAATCGTCAGTTTTTGATATCTCTTGGATTTGAAGTTTTGAAATAATGGAATTATTGAATATCACTGGTCAACCTTTCAGCGACACTACAATTGAAGACTATCAGTTTCATACATATCAGCCTTACATTGCTGGAAACCTCAATTATAACGACGAGATAAGAGTACCAATTGCTGACCTTGAAGCATTCACTTTGCCTTGTAACAGTTATTTATACATAGAAGGTACTCTCCTAGATGATAAAAATGCCGTTCCAACCAAACTGAAATTCATTAATAATGCAATAGCATTCCTTTTCCGAGAACTTCGATATGAACTGAACGGTATTGTGATTGATTCAGTGAGGAATTTGGGATTGACATCAACATTGAAAAATTATTTATCACTAAATGAAAACGAAAGCGTCTCTCTGCAAAATGCTGGGTGGTTCCCAAAAATATCGAACCAAGAAAAAATTCTAGTTGGTACTAACGGTCAATTCAACGTGTGTATTCCTTTGAAAATGTTTGCTGGGTTCTTTGAAGATTTCAGGAGAATAATAGTAAACATGCGGCAAGAATTAGTCTCAATCAGATCTAGTAATGATTTAGATGCAGTAACTAGCATAGATGATTCAGAAAAACCAAAAGTAGAGCTTACAAAAGTATTTTGGAGAGTTCCCCACATAACTCCAAGCATTCAAGAACAACTTCGAATCACGAAAATTACTAATAAAAGTATTGAACTTCCAATTAGGTTCAGGAGCTGGGAGTTGATTGAGTATCCATCTTTGAGTGAATCAAATAGACATTCGTGGCCAGTCAAGGCCACTACCAAGGTCGAAACCCCTAGACATGTAATTATAGCATTTCAGACTAGTAGAAAAGGAAAAATAACGAGTGATATGAGTAAGTTTGATCATATCGACCTCACCAATATCAGAGTGTTTCTTAATTCTGAAAGATATCCATACAATGATTTACATCTAGATTTCAAAAACAACAAGTATGCTACACTTTATGAGATGTACTCAAACTTTCAAGAAAATTACTATCATCTGAAAAATAACGAGCCGATATTGACCCCGAAAGAGTTCAAAGATAAAGCACCAATTGTTCACATTGATTGTTCACGACAGAAAGAAGTCATCCAAACAGGATCAATAGTGATGCGGGTTGAATTTGAAACTGGTAGTAATACTCCAAAGGAAACCACTGCTTTCTGTCTCGTTCTACATGAAAAAGAATATTCCTATAACCCTCTAACGAAAATAGTGAAGCAGCTTTAATGCGCATGATCAGATTTTTGTCATATATTGAGAAGCACATTCTCTTTCATTCAGTTGATATAATGTTATCCAGTTATGAATTACGTCTGAGGAGACATATGGAAAACATAAAGATACTGAAAAGGCTGATAGAATTGTACTCTACCAAGAAATCAGTTTTCAAAAATTTCTCAAATATTACGATATGAGTTTAATCATAGATGTGCAAGGATTCAAGATAGAAAATAACAAATTCATTGTCAAAGAGTTTGCAGCCTTCGATGGAGTGAAAATTTGCCATTATATTTTCAAACCACCATTTCCACTTAACTTTTTACCTCCGAATTTACAAAAGCAGGCTAATTGGCTGGTTCGTAATTTCCACTGCCTAGAATGGAAGGATGGATTTACCCCATTACATCAGTTTGGAAATATCTTGAAAAGTCTATGTGATGGAGTCGATCTAATACATATCAAAGGAAGGGAGAAAGCTGAATATATTCGACGGTTCACTTCTGTTCCAGTAGTTGAGTTCGATGAACAACCTATTTTACAACAGTCCGAACCAAGATGTTTTTATCATACGAATTCAAATTGCATGTGTGAATCAACAAATGTTTTTTATTTGTATGAAAATTTTTTTATGCAATAAAGTATAATATCAAAAGCAGTTTGTTTCATTTTTTCAAGATTTTACTGAATATGCGGTCGTCACACATTCTCGCAAAGATATCCACCAGATGTTCGGTTTTACAAACATGCGGGTAGCAGTTGCGGGTATGACGTGTTCAATAAATATGGCTTGAAAGTAAATAATAATTTTAGTATGTCAGAGGTTGTGACCATGATAACACCACAATGTTTAGTTTTACAAATGATTCTTCAAGGCTTTCTCTATATCGCGCAACCTTATAATATGAGAGAAGTATTCATATGTTTCGATAGTAATGGTACACGAAATGAAAGTTGGCCTTCTAAATGGGCAAGAATGGAGTCAACTACAATGAATAATGTTTCAACCCTCAAATCACGCATACCCACCAATAGTACCATGTACAAGTTGCGATTGCGAAAGGGCAGTGGCTCCACCATTGATTCTGACTGGTGTGAACTATATCCAAACCCCCACTACTTCATGATAGAAATATAAAGAAGGATGATGAGAAATTCGTAATAGTCGATTGGGTTACGTATTACACGGCAGTGTGTACATCATTGTTGCTGTTCAACCTCATTGTTACAACATGTCTAAAGATTGTCCTAACTGTTTATTGACCGAACTCGTGAATAAACACCGAAACCGAAATAAAAAATTGTACGATTTTTCCGAAGAAGAGCTCCAGAATTTTCCACTACATTATCTCATTAAAAATGTAGGTCCGATGGAACTTCTTTATGCATGGGACAAACTGCCATCAAAATATACAGAGAATTTCGAACTTCGTATCCAGCTACCATTCTTTGTCCACTTCAATCGCCCTGAATGGAGAGATCATGTAGACGGCCTTCCTCAAGCACAATCAAGCTGTCATGTTTGTAGATGGGGCCTCGAGCGATGTGGATAATATTAATATTTTGTATTGAATAAATGTAATAAAACAAATTCACTCGATAATGATTTTTATTTCATATGTCACAAATATAACATATTATAAACCATAATTACAATATACAAATGAAAATCACATCAAAACTATTGGTCAGAGTCTTCCTCGTCAATTAAATCTTGAGCTATTTCCAAAAACTCATCTAAAGTTCCAGTGATAGCTCCTGGTGTTATAAGCAAATGACCCCATGCCAAAGTTTTCACATCAAAAGGAATTTTATAGCGCTTATCATCAGCAGATGACAAAGCGACTTTATTCCTTAATTCAGTATGGATGGTGTGGAGAGAAGAAGTGAACATATACATCTTACGTAATATTGTTCCACCATTTTCTACAATATTGACATAGTCTGAAAACTGAATTTGGTTTTTTACCACGTTTTTTGAGACACCTTTGGCTTTTTTCATCACATCACCTGCTTTAACACAGTAAGCTTTCGCACCAGTACCATAAAAAGATTCAATAGGTCTTGAGGCATATTCATCTTTCATGCGTCCTATAACAGATTTCGATTTGGGTATTTGGTGTATATTGTCTATGGGATAATTTGACGTATCGAAAAATTGGATATTTTCTTTCATATCATTATAGAAATTTTCTGTGAATATTTCTAGAATCAATGAATCCGTATCGGTGTAGCATAATGTTGCTTTATCACCATATTTTGTTTTGATGTATCCATAGAAAAAATCGTAAATGATAGTTTTCGAAATATCCAATACCGAAAATCCAACATACATCGGTTTATCATAACAAACACTAGTCTTTTCCAACTGGATTGCAACCAAGTTCTCACTGAATTCTGTGCTGCATTTGAAATGTGGTTTGGCTATCAGAGCCCTTGCTCCCAGCGAGTTATTTTTATTTTCCCAGCGTGAACAAAGTTTCAAGTCAATTCTTTTGTCGACATTTTCCATGGTTTTTCCAAATATTGAATTTATTAATAATTTGAAAAGTTCTCGTTCAAATTCGTTAAGTGCGGAATTTCGAAGATGCGTGTTCAGGTCAATATAAGGCCTCAACCACGCCGATTGGGAGAATTCCAAGATTCTATGGATTTTCTTCAGTTTCAAACCATATTTCGAACACTGTTTCAAATTTCGGTAATGAATAATGTATTTGCATTTGTTTCGTAAATTGGGGATCAGTTTAGCACTCTTACTCTTTGGCGGGATCATTTGTTCTGGGCAAAATGGTAAATCGTTGTGATCATGGTGTAGGTTGGCTGGATATTCCAAGTCCACTTCTAAAACGTATCCTTTTGATGCGTCGTCCTCAATCGCATGACAGTCAAAGTTTTCGATATCCTCAGACTCAACCCACTCAAAATCACCTGTTGGAAGATGACTTGCCATAATTGCTCCATATAAATTTGTTGCATCCAAATACATGATGTATGATGTTGGTTTCTGAGAATCGAAGTTTGGTAGGAATTTGTTATTGGCCACAGCTTTTCTCTTGCTACATTGTGCCACCCCTCCTCGAATACCCTTCTTGAAAAAATGAATCATATCTATATCAGTCAAAAGCTGAAGTTCTATTTGTGTATAACGTAACATGGCATCCCAGCTCAGCGCAGGCGCTGTCAGATAGTGGGCAGGATCTAGTTTATATTGTTGCATGCATACTTTTCTGAAATTCTCAAACACGTCTGCTAGCAGCAGACAATCGGATTTTAAATATAAATCGGCGTAATCTCCCAATGTTTTACATTCGAAGGTATTCCACACATCTATAGCTCTATTATAATCAATGTCTGAAAGTGATTCGCCGGTTAAATCATTATGGAACTTCTCTTTCGACGGTAGCTGGGTTTCCTCCAATTTTTCCAAGGAGTCCACATAGTTGTAAGGAAAAACCCCTTTCTGTCTTATTAGATCAAATTGTCTGCTATCTTGGAAGTATTTTCGAACCTCGTTACACTGTTGCACCTCCAAATTTTTGCTGAGTTCATCGAGAGATTTTGGTAAAAATCGAAAAGAGTCTACAAATCTCAACTGAATATATTCATCAAATGCTCTGGACACTTCAGATTTATCAACCAATATTGACTTTGAGAACGAAATATACTTTTCTTTAGTTTGGGCTATCACTGATATTTTTTCTCCTTTCGTTGCTAATTTCTTGATGAAAAGGTGAGAGTCATAATTTGTGAGGTTGTGAAAGAATACAGGAATAGTTTTCGAGGTCTTGTAGTTCAAATTACAAATACTATGGGCGGCTGCGCGGAACTTCCCTGTGTAGTGGCAGTGATCACGAACTTTGATATCTGTTGGCTTGAACGGCTTCTCACATATATGGCACGTGGTGCTATTTTGGAAAGTTTGCTTCTCTATCTCAGTAAGTGGATGCATTTCACGAACGTCCTTCATGTGATTAGTGTATAAATCTTGAACGGTTTCATCCAATTTTCTCACAAAAACGCCGGCAGCATCAGCACCGCGATAAAGTACCGACCTTGAATAACGGTCATCAAAATTACACTTTACATAAAACGCGAACGAATATGGTTCATGTTCACATACTTTAACTGAGAATGATTTCTCGTCACAGGGTTCATTGTGTTGAATTGGTTTGAGTAAACTTTCAAAGTCAGCATAAATCACAAACGGTGGTGGCAATTGTTTTTCAAAGTTAGTGAATTTGAGGATGTTCTCAGGCACTGACTCACCATATTTATTGATTTTTAAATTGGTGGTGGGTATCTTTGTGCTCATATGATTGCAATCATTTTCCTAATGGCTTCTCAACTGCTCCACTGTAGCGAACGATTGTAGGCATCCATCGCAAATATATATTTTACCATTGCATTTCGATTTTTGTGTTTTCACTAATTTGCCCAGGTCCTTGATGAGACAGTAATGTGTATTGCCAACCTTATCGGCTATAAGCAATAAATTCACATGTGTTGCTTGACGACACGAAGTGAAATGTAGAGGTCCAATTATCTCATTTATCATCTTTCCATCCTTGAAAGACGATTCAAGACCGAACACATTAACTGAGATATTGTTGAGTCGCTCGAACTTTGGGATATCCTTCAATTTCATGGGAAAGTCGAGTCCTTGGAAATTCAACAAAGTATTGTAATGTGGATATGATGACGTTCTTATTGGATGATCGTCTGCAGGAAAAATCGCAGCATTGATGGACCATGCGAAGCAGGCTCTGTCCTTATTTTGAATATTCAAAACCGCATTTTTGGATTCTATAGCTCTGGGCAGCTTGATGTATGAAGAGGCCGAAATTGATGAGAATTTATTAATATTCACATCCAAAAACATGGCATGTTTCAATATCCACCCAGAATCCCGTTCTTGAAACTCTGACGCCTTCACAATCATTTCTTCCTTGAAGTCATCATAATCGTGCTCAATGTTTGATGATTTTGTCAGGGTTTTATTTCTGGTGTTGAAGGACTTAATATCAGATAGTACCTTCTCTGGTATGACATACAATCCAAAAAGTTCCAAATTTATCTTCAAGCTATGATGAGTCCCCAAATATTCGGTCAGAACTGCCAGAACTTTTGGTTTCACTTCTTGCAAAAATTCGCGAAGATCGGTGAGGGCTTTGTAACTGGAAAATCGATAGGTGGCTATCCTGTTCTTGAGAGCACAACGAAGTTTCACTATTTCATCCCCCAAATTATTTTCAACAGGTTGATCTACTCTTTTTCGCTTTTCAGCACCCTGAGTATTAGGTTCCTGCATAGGAAAATAGTTGAACAATGTGTTGTTCGAAGTAGATGCTTGCTGATTGTCCGCACTATTGGGCTTTATCTTCTTGGCCGGTGGTCCATTCACATCCCGATTATTCCTGCAATTTTTGCGTACATGCCGGAATAAAGAGCTCGTTGAAGAAAATTCATTGCCACAATAACCGCACTTCATTATCACTTAGTGAACTCGAACGTGTTGAAGAAACGTATGAACTAAGACTAGCTCAAGACTGAACTAGAATACACCGGTCCTAACCCGCTGGAGAAACTTGAGGACTGAGGCTCGCTCAAGACTGAACTAAAGTACGCTGGCTCTTACCCGATTTCATATCGTTCAGTAGAGGGGTACCCGCATGCGCATCCGCTGCCCGCATGTTTTTGCGGATGAGTCATCTATTAACCAGCGAATACGTCATACCCGCATTTATCGAAACTAGATGTCTAGACGAGTCTGAAATGGAAATAAAACATCTGGTGCATATCTTTGTGAACACGTCATACCCGCATTTAGAGAGAACATCTGCCACCTGCATTCAGAGATAAATCATTCATCGAAAAACATCTGCTACCCACATGTTTGCGAAAACAAACATCTGGTACCCGCATCTGCTGCCCCGCATTATTCTGATGACTCATACTATACCTGCATTATTCGGATGACTCATACTATACCCGCATCATTGTGATGACTCACGCTTTACCCGCATATAAGTGAATTAGACGGAGTGCACGTGTTCTCAAGTACTTAATGGTTAATGAATTAGATCATGCTTTCCTTCATGTGGTGATTGATTAATTAGGGGGAATTAAATGGAGTGCTCT